GAGCCTTGAGCCAGGTATCACAATGCAGGTTTTTCATTTGTTTTATCCTTGTAGCCATCCTGTGTTCTAGATGATGATCCTATGAACACTGTAAACCCTCACAGTGATTCTGATAAGAGCCTGGAAGAAACACAATCCACATTAACTGCAGCTGGAGTTACCACAGGAAGGATGGAGAGGTGCAATTTTCTAATTCTCCATCATAGCAAACTGTCTAGGATAGGGGTGGTGAACGTTGGGCCCATAGGCCATATAAAGCCCTGGAAATCATTTGGTCTGGCCCTGTCAAGGCAATCAGAGTTCCACCCATCGCATCGTTTTTGTTAAGTGCCATTAAGTCAGTTCTGACTCATAGCGACCCTGTAGAGGGTTTCCAAGGAGCAGCTGGTGAGCTTGAAGCACCGACCTTGCAGTTCAAACGGCTTTGCAGTGTGGCACATTAACCTACAGCGCCACACCAATTATTAAGTTGATAATTCTATATGGCCCACGAATGATGTTACAAATTTTGACAGAAAAACGGTTCCCCACCCCTGGTCTAGGAGTCCAGATCTTTCTGTTTATGAGGTGGCTGAGACACCTGAACTAAGTGTGTCAATTCTTCCTAAACTACTTCCAGCTGTGTGGTGCCTGCTCTCCCCTGCTGAGTGCTCTGTTTCCACACATGGAGCCTCTAACTTCTATCTGGAAACGAAAATATGCTTGATAACAAGCCAAGCAGTCTGAAGTCCAAGAATGCTGAAACCATGATGCCAGGATATGTTTTGAGAGGGAACATTAGAGAGCATAGGAATTGGGGGACAGGGGATTTGGGGGTGGGAGGGGGATTCTGAATAGAATAAAGCCAGTGAAATAATAATAATCCCAACCACTTCCTCAGTATGTGCCAAGTGCTTTATGAATGCCACCTCATTTAATACTCACAGCAACTCTATGACATGCTACGATTTCTACTTTTAAAGATGTGGAAACTAAGGCTCAAAGAGATTGTCTCACCAAATGCTATACTACTAGAAAATCACAAAATCCAGATTCAAACCAGGTCTGTCAGACTCCAAGTGCACACTTTTAGCCACTAAACAGCAGCGTCTCTCCTCTGCATTGGTTTGTTGTTGTTGTTGTTGTTAAGTGCCGTCGAGTCGGTTCCGACCCATAGCGACCTTGTACAGGGTTTCCAAGGGTGTTTAGAGCTGGATAAATTGGAAGAAGCGGTTATAATAATTAAACATCTAGAAAGCGTGTATGGTCTATCCAAGCATGTCTTGTTCATACTGGGTATCTGAAGGATGTACCGTAAGAATGCCTCCTTATAAAAGGCTACCTCAAGAGTTTGACAAATATCTTAGTTTCCCTTAATAATTCATTATTGGCATGACACTGGATGATTCATAATAGCCAACGGTCTACTCAGGACAACAGTATAGGTGCTCAGAAACCCAAAACACAAATGTTCACTGACTAAGGGTCTGAAGCAAAGACACTTTAGATTTAAGTCTGCTGAGAGTATCATGAAAAGAGAAAATCTTCACTTATGGGTTTGAGTTAAAACAGTGGTTCTGAACTAGGAGCTACTTCGGCCCTTAGGGGATATTAGGCAAGGTCCAGAGGCATTTTGAGTTGTCACAACTTGTATCTAATGGGCAGAGGATAAGGATGCTGTTAAATATCCCACTATGCACAGGGCAGTCATGACAGCAAAGGATTATCCAGATCAAAATGTCAGTATTGCGAAGGTTGAAAAATTCTGAGTTGGAGAGACTGTGGGAATACTAATCATTTAGGATAATCTGGAGATGCAAGAAGGAATCAAGAATATTGGGATACTGAGAAAAACCAAAGCACATTAGGGTCCAAATTAGGCCCATTTTAGATGAACCTGATATCACTACCCATAAGCGTAAGATCTACTCTGCTTATACTGTGTACAGGAGAAGTGGTATTTAACAACTGATGGCATTAAAAAAACCTTCTCTGAGTAATTCCCAAGATCTTCTGGGTCTCAAAGACACAGCTATTATCCTGGCTGGAAAAGGTAGAAGAGCTTTTTAGTATCTTTTCACCTGATAGGAAACATCGGACCAAGGGATTCAAAAGTCTGAGTGAATAGTTATCAAATGAGTAATAAAGTGATTTTCTGTTTCATGATGAGCATAAGAAGTAAAGAGGAAACATGCGATTAACCAAAAAAAAAAAAAAAAAAAACTCAAAAAGCTCAAAAACAAGCAGTGCTTAACAGGACATCAAACCAAATCATAAAAATCAGCAATTTATATTGCTGCATTTCCTACAGAACTTAAAGCATGCTCTTGTTAAAAGAGAATAAGACATTCCTCAGTGTAAGAAACTGTAAGTTTCTAAGGAAGGGCAAACACCACTTCTTCTTTTCATGTGTTTCCTCCTCCACAGTTGGGAAACCTGTCATGTGGTTTACAGCTAGGGCATCAAGAAAGCCCTGATGTGGCCCCATAAGATAAGCATTGGGCTGCTAACCAAAAGGTTGGCAGTTCATACCTAACAAGCCGCTCCTTGGAAACAGGGTCGCTATGAGTCAGAACAGACACAATAACACTTAACAACAATATATACATACATATTGACACACACACACAAACACACACACACACGGAGTCCTGGTGTGGCGCTGTGGGTTAATGCATCAGACTGCAAAGTTGTTTTAACTACAAAGTCGGTGGTTCAAGCTCACAGGGTCACTATGGCTCGGAATCGATTCAACAGCACTTAACAACAACATATAGATAGATAGATAGATAGATAGATAGATAGATAGATAGATAGATAGATAGAGATAGAGAGAGAGAGAGTCAGATAGATAGATAGATAGAGAGA